CTGAGAGAGGCTGTTTAGAGGTAAAAAAGCTCGGGAAGAACATTTCTCCCCACGTCCCCATGTCTCAGACATTCATTCCTGCTTTTGGGGGGGGACTAAAAAAAACCAAAGCAACAAAAAACCCCCCCATTTTCCTCCTTTTTGTGCTTTTTCGGAGGAAAAGCCGGGTATCTCCCGGAGCATCCCACAGTGACCCCAGTGAAGTCCTGGCTAGAAGAAAAAGGGGCAGAAATACTGAATGGGGAAAGTCATGGCTCCGCGGGGCCCCCCCCCACAAAAAAAAAAATCCTACCCGTCCTGGAGGAACCCACCATCACCCCGTGGGCTTCCCCCCCGGCTTTCGGGCAGGCGGCCCGCACCGACTCCTGTTGCATCCCTCCGGCTCCACTCCGGTTGATTTTGGGGCTGGATGGTGAAGCCGAAACTTTTCCTCTCTTGGGATAGAGGGGATGGATTTGTCCCTCCGGGAAGATATTTCATTTAACCCTTAGCAGGGAGGGGAATATCTATCCGTGAATCGAAGCCGGACGGACCATCCTCGGACTAAAAAATACCAGCCAAGTCCCCCCCAGGATGGAAAATTAAAGCGGATTTCCTACCTGCGGGTGTGCTGTCGGCTGCCGGCTCCTCTGATCTGTGACTCCTCCGGCGCCTGTGCCACGGTGGTATATATAGACGGTGTACACACGCATCCCCACACCTCCCTCCCCGAACACGTGCGTCGCTGAGCCCACCCCCGGGGGCTGCCGGCGGAGGGATGCGCCAGCCGGCAGCTGGGGACCGGGGATGTGCATCCTTCCCCCACTCCTGCATCCCTCATCCCTTCCTTCTTCTCCTCCCCAAATCTGGGGGGCAGCCCCAAAAGAGGTGAGGGGTGCCGGCCTCGTGGTTATCTAAAGGCGCGGTGCCTCCGAGCGTCCCGGGGATGGTGGGGTGGGGATGGAGCCCTGGGGGGGGTGTGTGTGCGAAGCCGCTGCTCGGTGGTCCCGGTGTGCCCCGGCCCAGCC